AACTGTGATATTGTTTGTATTTATATTCTTTTATTGTATCTGATGTGGTTAAACCCTCCTGTTAATTACACTGTCCCTTTTTAAATAAATCAAACTTCAATAACACTAAAACATCCACTTACTTACAAATTACACACATTTTAAATGATATATTTACAGTTTATAATACACATTGTGCTCTAACATATCACACTGTGTCTACATGCGTCATTACCTTTGCACTGGTTATATTTATTTTGTATACAGACACTGTATGTTGTTGCTCTTTATACGTATTTATATATAAACCTAGTTTTATTACAGCATTATCTGTATCTGTATTCGTACACCGGGCCTTTTGTGTCGAGCTCTCAGTATTTTTAAAAGGAAGTTAAAGAACAATCTTTTTAATCTTTTACTTTGGAGTAATGTTATAGTATTTAATCTTTGTTTTTTTACATTTAATAGTTGTTTCAGTTTGTTGTCTGAATGTTTGTATGGATAAAATTGAGTAAATTTAAGCCTGAAATTGGTAACGAAACTATTTACAGTTTCTTTTAAAATAAAAGTACTGACACATTTTTACTGATGATGCTCGTAAAGAGTTAATTATCTGAACCTGATTTTTAACTCTTCTGGTTCAGCTTTGTTGTTTTTATGTCTGTTTCTCAATCAATTAAACTTTATTTGTACAGCAGCTTTCATACAGCTCAGTGCCTGAAGTTGATAATTAATTAATAATCAATTAAATAAGGTAGATTTTAAAATAGAATACAATCATAACAATAAAATCAATAGTGTTTCTATTCTATCTTCCTGTAAGTGTCACACGGATAAATACAGCTTTTATTTTGTTAAATCTGACTGGAAGTTGTTTCATTCTGGTTCAGCTTGACTTTAGTTGTTTGACTTTCGATCATAACTAAGTAAAACTAAATGAAAACTAAAAGGTCATAAAAGTGAGACATGTGTCAGATCTGAAAGGTTTTTCCTCTGTGCTGGTGGGTGGGTTAAATAATCCCTCACCTGCTTCCCGTTGCTCAGGTGTGTGAACTCACCTTCCTGCCCTGCGCTGTCACTCTGCACCTTTCAGCCATGTTTGAAGATCTGAAGAGGAAAAACAATAAACAGCAGCAGGAACGTAAAGCTGCCAGTCCACTTCTGTCTGCCTCCAAAGTCTCCTGTCGACTGAGGCGACGCTGACGTAACAACCTGGTTCACTGCACACACACTCACACACACACACTCACTCACACACACACACTCACACTCACTCACTCACACACACACTCACACACACTCACACACACA